GGGCCGCCCGCATATATGCGGATAATTTAACGGCATGCATGCGCAATGCAGCTGTATATACGTTGCATGATTTTGCGTTCAAATTTCACTTGCCTAGGCAACTGTACGTACCTCAATGAAATATTATCATTAACTTAAGTACTAAACGTCGCGACTAGCCTAGCCGATTACTAACGGCTCCAAACCGACGTCGTCGCGTTATTAATCTATATTTATACTGGTCAATTATTCGAAATGCCCACGTACCGTTAAGTTATGAAGTTATGCATCATCGATTCATATTGAATGCTGAGTAGCTGCCCGGGCGTGACCATCTAAATTCCGTTCATTCTCAATGATGACACTCTCAAAATGATCATCATATACCTAGCTAGCCTGGAGCAAAAGTAGCTTGAACATTCACAGTAGTAGCCGCGCGCGCACGCCATGACCACGGGCCCGGGGCGTCGATTGCACTCGGTGCAGGCCGTGCACGCGGCATCAGCTTTAAGTTTAGGGTACCGTCACTTTGAAGTGGCACCCCCTTAGGTATATTCTGTAGGGGGGCTTGGGTTGATGGGTTGCATGAGACAATCGAAGGCCTGGGGAGGGGGGGGGCCGGGGCTTGAGGCTTGGGGCGAAGCCCTAGCCGGACTCGAGCTGCAGAGCGTGCTTTTTCATGCTGATTTATCATCATTTAGCCCACGGGTCAGACATTCTAGACCATGAATGAAACGAAGAAGCACTTTTCAACCTTCAAAAGGGGGCGAATTTATGCATACGACAGTGCTTTTGTCCATAAAGTAATAAAGTTTGCCCGGTTGGTGTCCATGTGGACCGGGGCCTTGACGTACCGGCCTTTTCTGTGACAACAAGCTGCCGGAGGGGGGGGGGGCTTGAGACCCTCCAGTTGCAAAGTGCCTCTAAAATACCTAACCGGGTGCCACTTCAAAGTGACGGTACCCGGACCCTTATCATGTCGACTAGTGCATCATTAACACCGTATATGCCTTTCAACAAGTTATCATTAGCTAGGGTTAGTACTCTTAAGGGCTAGTATTCTTAAGTCAACTTATGCTACAGGCTATACACATGTTCGATACCCTTCATCTTCAGGATAGCCGGAGCTAGCGCTTCCGTATTGAATCCTATAGCTGAAGGTCAAGAAACTATAGTGAACCCTTAGCAACTTCCTAATACTTCATATATAATGATGATCCCGGTCAGCCACAATTTGGCAGAACTTCTAGGAAGCATCAACTACGTTACTAGCTGAAGTAAGCATGCCGGCAGTGCCAACACAGCATCTACAGGGCAAACATCTCATGCATGAGTTGGACCGGCTGCCTTGCATCTGATGCATCCGAGAGCGAAGGCGAAGGAACACGATAACAACCTGCGACTAGACACACTGCTAGCTTGCCGGCAGAGAGAGTATGGTCACGCCTTGACTAAGACTCTAATTGCATGTCCCCACCATCCTAACTGTTTCGAAAGTCCATACTCCGATCATAAATCACGACCGAAGCTTTCCATACGCCATCATGTCCCAGACGTTTGACCTTGGTCGCGCGGCTCAGTCAATATATGCACTCTTGAGGACCAAGCCGATATGTACAACTCATATGACCATATTCTATCTCGATGTTTCTTCTGACAGGCGTCCATCACTTTCAAGAAATTTACAGCTGCAGAGACAAAATACGTGGATCAGTGTGTCTTCAAAATGTTGATGAAATATAAGAACCGACCCTGCCTGCCATGCCCACAAAGAATCATTTGGAGTACACCAATTTCCAGAGTGTCTCCGCGCTATCAGCTCCAAGGCAGCAATGTTTTAGGACCAGGTTTCAGATTTATGCAACCGTGCATCAGCAAGGATCGTTAGGCAGGGCTTGGGGAGGCAGCACCGTCTGCCTTGTGCATGGTCTTGGCCCCCCGTTCCCTGGATAAGGTGCTGCATCCCGTCACTTTCGGTCGGGCTGGTGTGCGAACGAGTCCTACCTGCTCGGAAGCCCCAGCTTACCTGCTGCGCCCCTCAGCGGGAGGGCCCCTTCCGGTCTAGGTGCGAGAACCACGACCGAGGAAACGAGCGCTCCCGATCTCGCCTCCCAAGCTCTGAAGGGAAAGAGGCCGCGATGCATTGAGGGGGAAAGAGAGCGACGTGACATGCTTCTAGATGGAGGACATGTAGCTTGTGAATTGTCTGCCGAGCTGCGCAGCCATTTGGCTGTGTGCAGCAACAAATAAAACACAAAGAGAAGTCCTCTCGCCACAAACGACTCGATTCTTCAACAACGCTGACAGAAACTTGAGCGAGAAAAAAAGGACCTTTTCAGCCGGCCATCCAAAATCCGTTTTTGCTTACGAACCACGCAAACGCCAAACCCGGGCAAAAAGCATCTCACGTGGGCACACATCCGCACGCTGGCACAGGCTTGTCGATCGCACATTGCTTCGCGTGTCTCTCTCACCTGGCTGCGACTCGCTGCTGCCCCCCGCCTGCCTGTCGCCGCCGGCCCCCGGCCACCGGAACCTCAGAGGACTGCCACGGTCGGAGGCAGCGGCCGTCGTGGCCCCCGAGGGCTGCCAGTCCATGTCCGTGTCGGGGTCCAGCTCCGAGATGGCTGGGGCACTCCCCGCAGGAGCAGGCGCATCGTCGCCCCTGCACGCACAGCGAACCAGTCAGCCAGGGGGGGCGGGCGCCACGAGGTGGCGGCCATCAAATGGCCCTTGAGAAACAGGGGCGGAGCAGGGCCCAATATGGGCCTTTCTGCTGGAACGTACTGAACATCTAAGGGCTTTCCTTGGCGTGGCACCCATGAGCAGTACCTCTCATTGCTGGAGGCCAATTGCATGGCGAGAGGAGGGCTTTACGGGCGCAACAGGCGAACCTTTTCCATCACCAAGCAGCTTTCTATCTGCTGCACCGGAAAGGCACCCACCCGAACCCTGCAACGCGGCTTGCAACCGGCAGGTGATAAGCACCCAGGCCGAGACTGTGCGCTTACCAGTGGATGGGGATGTCCCGCACTGACTTGGGGGAATGCTGCCAGCGCGGCCCGGCCTGCGCTGGCCCCTCGCCCTCATCGTCCTCCTCTCCCTCGTCTTCGCCGGTGTCATCATCTGCTGGTAAGGGAGGCAGGATGTCAGGCAAGCCTGTCCAAAAGTGGAACAGAAAAGGAGTAGGAGAGGGTGAAAGCCAATTATACAAGCAAGCAAAACGAGACAGCCGTTATGGACAAGCTCTCATCGAAGTTTATTATTTGAGGACTGAAGATTAACGCCAACATGAAGATGCCGCCTTTATGATAAACTGGATTGTATACTTGCAGCCAGGCCCATGCCTTGAGGCACACACGAGCGCGAGCGCAGATGGCCTGCGCCCGCGCCTGCCCGGCTGATCTGCCAGTGTGCGTATGCGCATCCTGCCTCTGCCCTGCCTCACCCCACAGCCTGCCCCCCTGCCAACCTTCCCTGCTCGCGCTCAGTGGAGGGGCGCGGCGCTACCTTCTTCCTCGGCGTCGCTGTCGGGGTGCTCCACCAGCGGCTGCTCGCGCGACGCCACCTCGGCCTCCCCCACCTCCAGCTCCACCACGCGCAGCGCAGGCAGCGACTGCACATCACACGCAGCCGGGTCAGCACCCCACCTGCTGAACTCCAGTAGGACACAGACAAGACCTCTGCGCCCGTTGCCTTGGTCCGTCTGCCTGTACTACAACCTCACAGGGTGGGCATCGAGATGAAGCGAGGAGTGGAAGTTCAGCCTGTCTGCTAAAAACTCTCACAATTAATCATCGATCCAAACAGCAAAAGGCTTGCACGAAAACCTGCTGCTATTTGGGTGGTCAAATGCAGTCGCTTGTCACAATGGACAAATGGTGCAGAAAGCACCACACAAATCTTGTAAAGCATGAGCTATGGAGTAGTCAACTTCTGGCTTGGCATGTAGCCTGTGGATTACTAGTTCAGGATTCCAAAAACACTACGGTACGAGCGTCATAGATGCAACTGTATATACAAATTTTGAAGGCAACTTCAACCGCCAATCTTATCTGACTTTTGAGCAAACTTGGTCAGAGCTCCCCGCAACTGTTTTCTTGATGGTGTGGACCTTTTCAAGGAGTCAAAGAGGCAGCAATGGGAAAACTTAAAAGAAAGAGGGAGCTTGACATTGTTCCGAAAACACGACGTCCGTCTCAAGATTGGGCCGTTCAATACTAGGATACTAAAGTCAATCATCAAATGTCAATGCACATTTGGAACATATCGAACCAGAGCAAGCAAAGTGGGGCTTCTATACCATTGCAACATGTCTGTTGAAACCTTCTCAGCATTGAAGATCTACTGTAACTCAAGTATCATCATTTGTGACTCCAGTCTTGGGGGAAATGAGTGGTTCTGGTCTATTTGGCACGGGGTTTTTATACTTTTGAGAGCATTTTAACGCTGCCCATAGTTGAGCGCAGCTAAAGCAGGCTTCAGCTGACTGGGTCCCTGTCCAACCGTGTATTGCACGTTGAAGTGTCTTGATTGGCACGAGGAGTCTGGTTACGTGCTCAAGAGGAGAAAAGAATGGCGAGAATTCAAGCTCCTCTTGAGCACGTAACCAGACTCCTCGTGCCAATCAGGTACACAGACATTGAACTAAGATGTTCCCCAAAGAGAAGCGCAGTGGTCGACCTGGTCCCCAAAGCAATTCAGATGCTGAGCCTTAAGGGAACCCTTCTCCTCGCTTTAACCTCATGCCCTGAGCAATGGGCAGCAAACTAGCAGGGGCAGAGACTGAAGGTGAGCTAGACAAAGCAGAAATGCTCTTTAATTGCAGAACTGAGTCGTTCCGTACTGGTATGGCTAAAGAAGCAAAAGCTTACCTGGTGGGATGGGCTGCTCCCATAATCGCCAGCGCTGGTTCCTTGCATGCTTTGCATGGCCGGGTGGGGTCGCTGAAAAATCTCATCTACGAGACCCCCAAATGGATGGGAGAAGAAAGTGGACGAAAATGGAGAAGAGAAGAAGGCGCTGCGTTGTTGGAAAAAAGGATCCTCAAAGAAAGGGTCGTCAAAGAAACCATCGAAGAAACTTCGCAACCGAGGACCCCTTCCAAAAGGGGTTCCATCATTGCCCCTGCGCATACTCTTCTTTTGGAGAACCTGCGGACGTAAGACAAGCTAACGCCCTTGCTCAAATGCAGCTCCAGCTGCTTCAAGTTCCACTACTACCTAGTACAGACTACGCTGGTTCTAGATAGCTAAGCTTCTTGTGTTTCTTCTAGCTTGCGCATAATACGCGTTCAAGTTTTCATGGTGCTCTTTGTGGCAAACTGCAGTCTCGAAACTGCACGGGCTGCTTGCCCGGTACGGTACAATCTCATCTGGAGCGCGGTTTACAAGTAGGCATTTGCTCTCAGGTCCCCGGGCAGTACAAGAAGCCCGGCGGGTTGACCGCGCTTTCCGGCAGATGGCCTTCCTAGAATCGTTTTTTTTTTTTGAATTGTTTTTTAAAATAGGGTTTTAGGGTTTTAGGGTTATAGGGTTTTAGGGTTTTAGGGTTCCCC